GGATGGATGGATGGATGGATGGATGGAAGGATGGATGGATGTGATGCCTGTGGAGGAGCTGTGCAGAATCACATATATCTGAGTTAGAAGGACTTTAAAATAACAACAACAATAGCTAGTATTTCTATACTGATGATGATGATAATGGTAATAACTGGTATTTCTATAATAATGCTAATAGTATTTCTATAATAACAACATCTCTAAAATAATAATTGATGATAACTAGTATTTCTATGATAATAATAGCTAACATTTATAAAGTGCTTCCTATGTGCCAAGCACTGTTCTAAGTGCTTTACAATTATTATCTCATTTGATCCTCACAACAGCCTTAGGAGGTAGGTGCTGTTCTTGTCCCCATTTTACATTTGAGGAAACTGAAGCTGATAGGGGTTTAGTGATTTGGCCCAGAGTCACACAGCTAGTATCTGAGATAAGATTCCAGGTCCAGCACTCTATCCACTTTGCTACCTAGCTGACTTTCAGAAGCCATCTAATCCAAGCCATAACTAAACAGAACCCCTCTTCTCCCCAACCTAGGATGGTGAATTTACTGCACCATATTTGTTCAATGACTTCTTATATTCCGTTCCTTGTCCTCCCTCTGTGGAGGAGAAAAATTGAACTGGATCTTGGACGAAGTTATGCACATAGAAAAGTGGAAGGGAGTAGGAGAGCATTTCAGGAATTAAGGAAATTAAAGAAAATTAAAGGAAATTTAAAAAAAACCCAGCAACTATAAAGGCAGTAATTAATAGATGGGTGCTAGCAATGTAAACATATTGCCTTGGCTGGAATGAAGATGACATTGAAACTCAGATACTCTTATATAAAGGAAATTGGTGCAAAACTATGACATAAAAGATATTTCTCTAACATTAAAAAGTAGCTCTCCAAGGGGCTCTCCTTTAAGGAGGTCCCTATGCTCTGGATTTGGGTACTGTGTTATCCAGGACTTTCAAGCATTCCTGATGAAAAGACGAAAGCTGAAGGGAAAATTTGATCTTCAGATACAAGACTCAAGAATAAAAAGTTAAATAGGAAAGAGAAAACAAAAGGGATTTAATAATTTATATCGCTCCAGGGGAAGATGATACTTTTAACTCTTAAGAACTATATTACTATTAGGGTGGTTAGCAGGAGTATACATAAAAAGAGAGTGTGGCTATAAGTTGACTTTGATGTGATGATATCCCATCCCCAAAAGAAAAAAAAAACCCAAAAATTAAAGGGTGAGAAAGAAGGTTGCACTGGGAGAAGAGGGAAGGGAGAGGTAGAATGGGAAAAAATTATCTCACATAAAGAGGTGTGAAAGACCCATTTCCACAGAGAGAAATATGGGGTTGGTGGACATCACTTGAAACTTACTCTCATCGGAATTGGCTCAAAGAGGAAATAATATACACAATCAGTTGGATATCGAAATATATCTTACCCTATGGAGAAGTAGGAGGGAAAGGGGATCAGAAAAGGAGGAGGGACTGATAGAAGGGAGGGCAGATTGGGGGAGATGGTCAGAAGAAAAACACTGGTGAGGGACGTGAAAGGAGGGAGGGACACACATACACACACACACATAGAGAGAGAGAGAGAGAAAGGTGAAAAATAGGATGGTGAGAAATACATATTTAATCATAACTGTGAAGGGGATAAACTCACCCATAAAACAGAAGTGGATGGCAGAGTGGATTAAAAACCAGAATTCTACAATACGTTGTTTACAAGAAACACATTTGAAGTAGAGAGACACACAAAGTAAAGGTACAGGGATGGAGCAGAATCTATTATTCTTCAGAGGAAGTAAAAAAAAAAGCAAGGGTAGCAATCATGATCTCAGACAAAGCAAAAGCTAAAACAGATATAATTAAGAGAGATAAGGAAAGAAACTACATCTTGCTAAAAGGTACCATAGACAATGAAGTAATATCACACTAAACATATATGCACCAAATAGTATAGCATCCAAATTCATAAAGGAGAAGTTAAATGAGTTACAGG